GCTTCCATACTTTCCTGTACTGTGATTGGCTTGTATGGGATCTACCAATACAGTCAAGGAATAGAAAACTGTCAGAATGGATTCTTTCATTTCGGTGATGAAGTGCTAGCTTTGCTTGCCAGCATGCAGGGTTCAATAAAAGCAGACAGGTCTTCAAAAAATTGCAGCATAAATAGATGAACTCTTTAAAGTAATATAAGTTCTGTCATCTAGATGTGAAATATTGACCTAAGTGCCCACTGAAGTAAAAGCTGACCGCACATTCCATAGATAAGTGTTAAAGTTTTCTCAGAGTATCTTGGGCTGAGAAACGTTTTAACGACATTATCTCCTTGCCACGACAGACAGAATGAAAGCATTTGAAGTTAAATCCATTTTTCAAAGGAAGAAAACAAAGCATCCATAAAGAAACAAAGGCATATCACAGGATGAGGTCTCTAGATAGCTGCTGTTTTCAGGAAAGTTGCAATTAGCTGTGCAATGGAGAAGGTGGACTTAGTTGTATTTCAATAGCATTTATAATGATTTCAGTAGCTAGAACGCTGATAGGTACGTGCAGGGGGTTGTTTTCAAGATTTCCTTGTGAGACAGAAGGTCAGGATTCCTGTGGTCTCCTATCATATTTAATTCATATCCTCTGGCCTTCTTCACCGCATTTATTGAATTACAGGAATAAAATTCAATGAACCAAAAACAAAAGAAAAGAGGACAGGGCAAATCCTGATTTCTTTTACATCCCTACTGCACAATTGATTTCAGTGAGCTTGTAAGAGAGCATCTTAAAGCAGAGTTTGAAAGAAGGGGGAGGTACAAGTTAGTATAGCCCCTCTCACTACCCCCATAATTGCATCCAAGTAATTTATTGCAAGGAGCAACTATTTGCATGTGGGAGTAAGGATCCAGTTTCTACCAGTCAAGAATATCCCTGTATGCTTTTAAAGGCTAATCTTTGTGTATTCTCTATGTGTGTTTATCAGATCCCTTCTTGCCACAAATGAGATGGCAGTAGAATGGCTTTTCAAAGCCATTCTTCAGAAAAGGGTCACTTGCAATTCATCACATGAGTACTAAGAAGCAATCCTCAAACATGTTAAAAAATATGAGCTTCAGAGAAACACCCAATTCGCATGCTTATAACGATGATTCCCTGCAATCACCTGAATTAAACTGATACAGCCTTTACCCTCCCTTCACAAGTGAGATGCAACAAGCACAGTGTTTCCAACAGGTATGCAGTGTGGACTCTACTGCTGGAGCATATGGGGAGTAGTTCCAGACACACTCTGTGATTTTGGGGAAGATGATTTTGTTGTGTCTCCTCCACTCCTACTGTCCTATTTTTATTGTCCTGTATGCTGCCTCCAAGAACTGGGCTCTTTTGGGTATAATTGTGGGTCACTCGGATTTCTCAGCTACCTCTTTGGTCAAATCTACACATGGTCTCTGCGCTGGGGTTTAGACACCCGTACAGTTACAATAGTGTAAGCCCCTAGTGTGAGCACAGTCATATCAGAACTTCATACAAATAACCTGTACCGGTACCCAATAACATCTTTACAATAGTGTAATTTGTTTTTAGAGCTAGGCATGTGCAAATCTGGTTGTTGAGTCTGACCCAAAATATTAATCCAAAAAAGAAGGTATAAAATGTTTTGAAATTCTATCCAAAACTGCAAGCTCACCAATATTTAGCTTTGGCATTTGAATTTTTGGAAATGTCACAGCTAATAAATAATGTATTATCTTCTGAGCTACAACGTACATTTTTATTTTAAAACTTGAATCTGCTTAACTTCCAAAAATTAAGTGCTCTGCTCACGTACCTGTCCACCTATGGGATGGCTGCCTTTCCACTTAATACACTTAATAAAGGTGACCAGATGCTTTGTGTTTTTAATGACTTGTTCTGCATCCCAACAAAATGTCCCTGTTTTGGCTGCGATTGCAGATGATTCATTCTGAAACCCAGCCCAGCTGCCCTGCCACAGCTGAGGCAGGGCACAGTTAAAAAACAAGCCATCTGTGCAAAAGAAGTGGGCTGGAGGAGTGCTTTGTCAGGAAAAAACTCATTTCTTGGTCACTATGTTTTCTAGGCATCCAGCAACCCAAAAGTCCTATGGGTCCAACCTCTCTGCCTTTGCAGTTAAATTTTGCAGTTATATCCCATGTCCCGTCATATTCTCTCCCTTCCCTCCTTACTTAGAAACCCTTCAGCCCGCTCTGCTATATACCATCATGTGTAGATCAAACATTTCTGTAAAATGTAAGATGCTGCTCCCACTTTCATTCTTTCCAATCGTATGGCAAAATTCCTGACCCATGAGCCAAGCCTCATGCTAGAAAAAGCAAGAGGGATTCATTTATGCCTTTTCTGAACAATTAGCTCTGCCCAGCTCTGTATTAGCATCACTCTATTGCCAGCGCTGCCAGAAGAGACATCCTGCATTCATGAACAGTCGTGCCACTCGCTTGCAGGCTAGCCGAATTCAAGGGCAAAACTCTACCCGCAGGCAAAGCTCCCCGTTGCCTCAGCAAGAGGCAGGCGTCCACATTTGAAGGCAAAGTCTGGCCTCGAGTGTGTCATTGAGATAAGCCACTTCAAGCCTTGAGAGGGTTCTGGCCCCACAGCATCTTTCACATGACCTGCAGGCTGCGTCTTGAAGCAGTGCTGGGAACTTCTCCCTGCCCAGACGATGGAGCGGACAGCAAGAGCAGCTCGGCAGGACATCGCCTTTCTGGGGTAGGAAGTAAAGGTTCCTGACAAGTTTTCTTTACAGCCTATGTTCTCTAGCATTTGAAAGAACCATTGCAACTCAAGTCATCTGGCATGCATACGAATGACAAATATGCTTCAGAGGCAATAAATTAGCAATTTCAAGGCTTTACTTCCCCACATGGACTAATTGCCAGAGATTATAGTATATTATGAGAGAGCAATGATACTAATGCCTAAATATGCTTCAGTGATTATAGAGCTATCCTCAATAACCAAGCTGTTTAAATGTCAATGCAAGAAAGCTCTCTATTATGAGATTAAATATTATTTTGAAGCTATACAATAGGAACTTCCCAGGTTTCATGCCTGCAATAATACTGTCTTGGAGCAATATATATTGGACAAACTATGGTTTTTTTAGAAATGTGTACAGTAAAGGGTCCCAAAATATTTTTATGCTACAAACTTGAACAGCATTCCTGATAAGACAGAGGATCTTGGTATCTTTTTATTTTGCGTTTGTTACTAACATGCTGCTTCCTTCATTCTTTCCTCTACTTTATATTAGTATTCGTCTATCATCGCTGTATAGAGAAGACAAATTCTTGTTTTCTGTTAGTGTGAGTGGGGAATCAAAACTTAAAGCCCTTTTCTTTTTTTTTTTTTGCATCTCTAAATGCTACTGTCTTGCACAGATGCTTTTGACAGTCATACCTCTCATGCCTAAATAAATCTCTTTATATCTGGCATTGCGAGAACCTCTGGAAATTAGATGGAAGCTCCAAATTTCAGGTTCAGCTGTTGACATAAAGCAGAGAACAAAACTCTTTTTAAGCCATAACTCCACAGTTCTGGAGATGACAGTCGGTGATCACAAGCTCAGGTGTGAATTTAAAAGGAGGGGAGGCTAAAAAGGCTTTAACATCTCACTAATCTCATACAGGACTCCCACACTATGTGATCTTGTCACACAGCTGTGCAGCCTTCCCCTACAGATGACAGCAGCATATGACCCTGCAGAATACTCCAACGTTTTTTCAAGAAAACCCTGAACACTGCACTGGGCGCTGATGGTAGGACGTGGCTGCTCTGCTGTCCAGATCCAACACGTCATTCCCCTCCTGTTGTTTCTAAAGCTACCTAGTACGATGTCCACCATATTTCATAAATGCAAATCAAAAGAGCTACAACACGGCAAAAGATCACATCTCATGTTCCCTGCTATTTGAAGATACTTATTGATCTCATTTTGAAGTTGTAACTTAGAACAATAGAGGGTAAAACTCATCTGGGAGGCTGTACGTTTTAGTTGGCTGCTAAATGTCAGTGGACAGTTAACATACTGGGAATTTCTTTGAATCTGAATCTTGATTTCTAGTAACCTTAGTAATTATAACTAATAATCACTATAATAGTATAGAAAACATATAGATAGGCCTGTGGGGACAGATCATGTAAAATTAAGGACACAAATTACAGAAAGACAACTGCTAATGAAGTTGTGTTGGAATTCTCTCTTGAAAATAATTTTTTTTTCTTTAGGAAGTATTGTTTCTTAAACATAGCCTGCAGATCTCTTCCATGGTGTGCTCCTGAAGTAAAGAAGTGTTTCATAAATGGATGACTAGGGAACTTACTAGCAAGAGTTCCATTGTGCTCAGCTGTAGCAGGACTGCACACCTGGATCCTTGTCCATGTACTTTCTGCTGCAACCTGGCAATCGTTAATTCTCAATTTTCGTGGTTTCATCTTGGCTGATTTCTTCAGCCATTTTATATCTCGTCTATAAAATGTAATACTTGTTTACCTCAGAATGTCTGAAGCTCTTTCTGATGCTCAGGTAAAAGACACCTGCCATATATGCTCAGAAAAGACATAAATTGCTCTATCATTTGTAACATTTTAAAAGATCTTCATCTATTAAAATCACACCGTGACTGACAAGGAATATGCTGAAAGGCCATGAGAATTCTTTTTCTGCTCTTCCAGGCAGACAATAATCTGACATCTTTTTTGTTATGTCTTGACTTAGAATATATGATGGGAAACCATGTCTTTATCCTTATAACAGTAATAAATTTACAATACTGATGTTAAGTAAATAACCAGAAGTAAGAAGTTGACACTGCTCAAAGGAGAATAACATGGACTTAGAATAGAACAGGGAAAAATTAGCTGCACCCGGCCACTTTTAAGCGAATACTATTTGAAATCAGATTAAAATCCTCTTTAATTTTTTGCAGGCACGTTATGAAATGCCCCATTATTCCCAGCTTTCACTTACCATATATCCCGGTGCACACGTACACTTCCCTGTGATGCTGTCACAATCTGCACCATTCTGGCAAGGGCAGGTGAGCTGGCAGCCCTCGCCATAGTATCCAGGGGGACAGGTTTCATTGCAGTAGAGTCCAGCCCAGCCAGCTTTGCAGCTACATTCTCCAGACAACGGATGGCAACTAACAAAGACAGACAGACATTAATGGGATGTGGACGTGAAAGATAAATACAGCCCATAACCAGCAGTAGAACGTTTTACGTGCAATGCCAGCAAGAGTCACACTAAGAACAGAACAAACCTGAAAACTGTTAAGGATGGTGAACATAAGCAGCCATATAACTCAAGAAGTGAATATGGTGCTAAATACCAGCCTAGCACGCCACTTCCAAACACCTGGGAACTGCCACAGCACTGGTAATTTTACACCTTTGAAGTTTATGCTTTTCCATTCTCAAATCAACGTGACTTGAATTACTGACATTAACCACAATATGATTAATCCATACTGTTGTATGACAGATACATGCCCTACTATTTGGCTACAATACAGTCAGTTAAAGGTGTTCAGGGTTAGGAGAAATTCCAATGGATGGAGGAACGCAATCAAAAGAATTGTGAAGATAAACCTGAGTCCTGTGGCACAATATTCTATTCGAATCTATTCTACTTTATTCTACTCTAATTTGTGTTTTAAAAGTGAGTGCCACCTCAGCAGAACTTTTCAGCAGGGAGACGTAGAAAGAAAAGTGCTTTGAAAGGGAAAAAAATCTCCTTGGAAATGAGTTTTGCAGGGAATATTCAGCCATAGTGAACAGAACTGGTCACTACCTGAAGCCTTGGGATTCATTTAGGGCAGGAGTCAACAGGAGCCCTGGGACTAAATCTCAGCTGTGCAGGGAAATGAGTCAAGTTCCTTCATGCTGAATAATGAGCATTGCTGCCCAACATTAATCCTCTGGCTTTCATTTCTGTTCAGGCAATTCCACATTGGTGTGAGAGCACACAGAGGGAGAAGCAGAAAGGAGAATCAAGCCCAAAAGATCGGACAACACCTGGTCCTTCTGCATCTGGTAGGTGGAAGACTTACCCCTTTGATCCTCCTGCTATGAAACAGTTTCTCTTTATTCACCATTTTCTCTTCTACAAACAGAAAGAGCATCTCCCAGGTTTCCTTAGGGCACTAACTTCCCACAGCAGGAGAGCCACGCTGATGCCATGGCTGGGGACTAGGAAAGAAGGGGAAGGCTGGAGATGTGTTAAGTCCTGGTTTGAAGAGACAGAGGTTTCTGGAAGATGGGAAGATGAGTTTCTAGTTTGGGTAGATGAGGTGGTGAAAAGAGAGAGCAGGGGATGGAGAGGGAACCTGACCTTTGAAAAAGGACCCCATGTTGTCTGAGGCCAGCTGGGAGCATAAGCCTTCACCTGAGAGCTCAGTATGGCTGGGGGCTTTGGCACCGCAAGATTTTACCATAATAGCACTGTCTAGCCCTCACTGAGAAAGATGAGAAATAATATTGCTACAAATCAGATTTACTTTATTGTTCTCAGAACAAGAAAGAATAGAGTTCTGCAAGGTGGCACCCCTCTATGGACCTGTCTCCTGTTTTTTTGCCTCGTAGAAACTATTTATTTTCTTTTATGATTATTTATTGCTGTAGTTTAATATTGCAGACATGACCGAATGGGTTTCTCTACACCTATAAAATTAATATCGTATATGTTAATTTTCAAGGTAACCTCATAAAATGTAATTTCCAAGTATGTTTCTGGCAATTACTGGTAAGAGAGGTTAGTCTTATACTGTTGTGCCTAAGAATGATCAAATTTTGTGAGTGTCATATGTTTCATCATAAATAGTGTTTTACTGACTAATTAAAACAATTCATCAGCTTAACAAACTACCATCCATGAAATTCTTCTGACAAAGCAGTCCCTGAAATTATGGTTGTTCACAAAGCACCTCTTAACATTCAGATGAAAATAATAAAAGCTCGTTTTTTCCCCCTCTGCATGTATTAATCATTACCTAATAGGAGCAGAAAGCTAAACATTAAAGAAATATTTTAAAGTGGATTTTTTTCTTTCTCTGTTTTCACTACTACTGCACGTATCATAGGGTTCCATGAGAACTGCATCTGTTGGCTAAATTAAATCTTTCAAAAGTAATCTATGATCATGGCAGTTTCAATCAATCTATGACAATTCAATTGAAAATACTATACTCAGTAAGAATTTCTGCTCCAAGGTTGGCTCTTTCATCAAAATGGACAGCATTTTTGCATGGCATACAGGCTATACATTAAGGACTGAAAATCGTCCTAACATGCACTAAAATAAGAAGCAAAAACCAAACAGGCTTTGCAGATGAGTCTAAAGGAGACAGGGAGCTTGGACTCCAAAACAAGATCCAGCAGAAGGTTATGAGCTAGGAAAACTCCAATGCAGACGTTTGGGTCCCTTCATCCATACAACCTTCCCATCGAAGCATGAACAATTTTGTTATCAGCGTGAGCATATTAGTTTTGTTTTTCTCCTAGGCCAAGCACATGTAGTCTTTCAGTGTTTTGAAATACTTCTCTTTTGCTGCCTTACAGAGTGCTGGCATTGTAGGATTAGGAAAAATTCTCCACAGTAAATTCCAGAGTTACGGTATCTGTAACAATAGTTCTGTGTAGGGAGCAACAGTTGGTGAATAGCAGGGGAAAGGAAACTTCTCCTTGACAGCAGCAGAATAAATCTTTCCAAAGCTTTCGGCAAGCCAAACAGTAACATACACCACAGTGTTACGGTAGTGTAACAAGCAAAAGGACCTCAGACCTCCATAGCTAGGTCTGAAATGAGGTTGCAGGCTGTGTCTGGCCAGGGGACACAGGAGACTTGTCTCAGACACAAAGAATACAATGCGCTGAATCAAAAACACTTGTTTGACAATTAAGGTGCCCAGATGCAGTGTTAACTTGAAGATGGCTGAGATTTAGATGCTTAACCAAAATTCAGAAGACAGCTGTTCTCTTCCCAATCCTGCCAGTGAATCTTGGCCGTGTAACTTACTCTTTCCGCCTTCATTTTTCCCATTTGTAAAATGATGCCCTTCTTCCTCTGGAAACCCTTTTAAGATCTGCAGCTGATACCACTAAATAGTATGAAGTTTTTATTATTAATTGTTTTATCTATTCTGGTATGTATGAACTATTCCAGTAATTAAAGTTATCAGAGTTACATACTAAATATATTGCAGCTCATGATGTAGATATATATATATGTATGAATGTATGCGAGGGTTAAGAATGTTTCTTTCCTATTGGCTTTTTGTAAAATTTCATTCTGTTCAAACTATGGACCTGGACATATAACAATAGCTAGGAAATTCATGTCATCCATCCAACCATCTATGCATCCAGGCTGCCCAGGGAACTAAATGCTAGCTGCATTGAAGTTGAAAAGTTTGAGGCACTTAACGGCAAAGGTGTTAAGGCAAAGAATAGGAAATACAGCTAGCAGAGTGAATTATGTGTGTAATTTCTCCCTTCCCATTCTGAATGTACCTTGCAAGGTTGTAAGTCCATGTAACATTTTACCAGCACGGGTTACAGCCTATGTAAGGCACTTCTCCATGCCACCAATGAACTGAAATTAGGAAACACAATTCCTCTAGAGAAGGGTCACTGAACGGATGGGCAAGAGAACGTGAGACCTCCAAAAGGATCCCAGAAGCAAAGCCAGTTTGACATCTGCTTTCCTACCACTTGCTGTGAGCAGGAACGGAACCTTACGCTCTTGAAAGAGCTTGACAGAGTTATACATTAGTATTTTGCATTCAATCTTAACAACTTTTATTTCCTCAAATCTCTCGCATAACAGGAAGGAATAGTGTAGAAAACGTCAAGTGAATGCAAGCAGCCAAGTGTTCCTCTGGCTCTAGGCCAAGTCGAGGTGGAAACTGGAAGCTGTCCACAGCGCACAACATGGCGTGAGAAGGAAATTGTTCCATGGCTCTTGCTGCAGTTTGGAAGCTACTGTACGGTCCTTGGCTTTTCAGCCACATTTGCAGCAATAAAGATTTATTTTTTTAAAATTTACTGGCTGAATTGAAAAACAGAAAGTCATTTTTGACCTTTAAATTTTTTAAGCATCTAACTTTGAGAAAATCCAAGGAAATCAGGTAATTTAACTGTCTTAAGGCAAATTGGGAAAAGCAATGCTTTAGACAGCACAGTTTGTTCCAAATTCTGACTTTGTTCTCCACACATCTTTCAGCCAGAACAACTTCTTCCCAGTGAATTTCCTGACTTTCTGTTTACACACTAGCACCAGTCATCTCATCTTAATTAACAGCCCTAATCCTTATTGAACATTATTTTCTGTCTATTGGTGTCCATACTACATTCAGTCTCTCTTACTAAAATGCCCTCTTGCTTTTAAAGAAGTAGCCACAACGAGGCTGTAGGACCGCTACTTCAGGCCAGCACGTCTTCAAAGCCAGCCTCATTCAAGCACATTATTGACTTAGGTCAAGGCAAAACTTCATGTAAGTTCCCTGGGGTTTGGTCCTTCCAAACTTCCCAGTGTTGAGGCAATAACTAGAGCCTCTGGAGATCCATCAATCTCATTTGACTTTGTCACAGTAGGGAAGTGTCAAAGCTGAAGAGGTCAATGTGGCTTCCTTCCCTTCTCATGTCTCTGACCTGGGAAAGATGTTACTACAGGCACATGGCTCTACACACTGGCTCCACACCAGTGTTCATACTAGGGTGGCTGAGACTATTCCAGCTATTTATTTCCCTCTCTGCTTTTCAGAAGGGCAAGTCAGGGTTATGCCTTTCTGACTATTGCAGACTGTCTCAACATGGGCTTTTTGCACAGGGGAATTTTTTACAGGTGTATCCTTTCCTGTGGAAGGACAGTCCAAGTCACCACCACATTCTAAATTACTGAATTCTGGGGTTGTTCCAAAGTCCCGTACAAAGTGCCTTTCAGCGTGCTTTGATGCAGAAATTATTGGATGATGTTCTTCAGCCATTACTATGCAGGAGGCTAGACTAGATGATCACACTGCTCTCTTCAGATATTAAAATGGATAGATCTATGAAAATAGAAAAGCTGATTGTGTATTTCTTAATGTTCCTCCCCAACATGAGGGAGCTGGGGTTGTTTAGCCTGGAGAAGAGGAGGCTGAGGGGAGACCTGATCGCTCTCTACAACGACCTGAAAGGAGGGGGTAGCCAGGTGGGGGTTGGCCTCTTCTCCCAGGCAACCAGTGACAGGACAAGAGGGCATCGTCTGAAACTGCACCAGGGGAAGTTCAGGCTAGACATGAGGAGGTATTTCTTCAAAGAAAGGGTGGTTAGGCATTGGGATGGGCTGCCCAGGGAGGTGGTGGGGTCACCATCCCTGGAGGTCTTTAGGAAAAGACTGGACGTGGCACTTAGTGCCATGGTCTGGTTGACATGGGGGTGTTAGGGCAAAGGTTGGATTCGATGATCCCAGAGGTCTCTTACAAACAAATTGATTCTGTGATATGCTCCTCAAAGCCCCCAGAACTTTCTATTCCAGCCAGCTTTCCAATACCCAGATCAAATGAGTCAAAACCACTGACAGAAATACGCAAGCTTCTCTTGCCTTCTTTCAAGTGTTTGTATAATTATCCTACATACTTAAGTATCGCAACAAGTCACCAACAGTTTAAACTGCTTCTGGAGAAAATAGATGGCTGTCAGTAAATGAATCACTTTGGGAGACCACAGTTCCAGTAATGATAAAAATTCAGGGGAGGAATCGGAGGAGGTGGGTGGGAAGAGAAGTATGTTGTATGGGACTGGTTAAACAATCAGTAAAAAGATTTGTTCAGAATATGGAGTGCCTTTGGAGAAGGTCATGTTCCATCAACTCTGACACTCCTCAGCTCAGAAATTGACAGCACTCTGAGGAGCTCATTGAAAAGTGGAAAGCTGAAATACCATGGATGAATGAGAGAACATTTACAGATCTACAGCTTGCTGATATCTCTTTGTTCCATAACAGCAGTGATAAGATGAAGGGAAAAGGGAGATTTTATCAATGGAGAGACTAGACTCATTTATTAAGGAAACGGAGATACCATCTTAGCAGCGAATGCTGCAAGTGAAGCTGACAGAGCAGCGATGGGAGGGAAGGCATAAAGTGTATACGTCAGACAGCACCCAGGCACAGGTCACGTACGTGGTCTGTAAGAATGACCACATGCCTAGAAAAGAGCTGCGTGAGGATTCCATCCTCCATCTTTCTGAGCTCTCTCAAATTTGGGACCTCATCTTTCTTCACAGTTGGATGGCGCTGCTCTGTTTTTTCAGGCAGGATCTTCCAGCAAACCCCCAGAGCACCTCCCATGTAGTTCTTTGAGTAGCCCAGGACGAACTCTTGCACCCTCAAACCCACAGTCTTCTCCCACTTGAGAGACTCTTGATTAATTGAGCACTAAGCTGAGAAACAGCAGCCAAGCTCAGCCTTGCCCGTGGCCTGCAGTCCTTCCACTCTATTTACACCTTTACGGAAACTGGGCACACAAATAGGTTTCTGCAGGCTAGGAGGGGGGTGAAGACACACTGTGCCAGCTGCTGTCCAACAGCATATTCTCACCATCCAGTACACATGAAGAACAGCTTTCACTGAGGAGCAGTTTACCTTGTATTTACCGCAGGTTTAAGCCGTGCACACTGGCAGGTACTGCAGAGTAGTGTGACATGCAGGAATTTATACCTTAGCTCACTCTGAAGTAATTCTTGAGACATCCCCTGTCCTCAGTACAACACAACATTAACCTTTTGTGTATAATGCCTAGCTCGTGCCTTAGGGATGTTATTTTTTGCAATGATTTCATGATACACAAAATAATCAGAAGTGATAGAAGCCTGCTGTACAGAGCTACCTTTGAGGTGTCAAACACTTTGGATCCTTGCTGTCGAACCCACTAGAGCTAGAGCTATCTTTCTGTAGAGGACTCGTATCATCAGAATTACAAGGCGTTTAAATAATCCATTGTGAGCTCTTACTTTCAGTTAAGCAAAGCCTCGCCACTCACAGTTGAACTTGAATTCATAAGAAAGATCACCTGTTTATTTCCAAGACTGAGACAAATAGAGTCTACCATCTCAAGCACATAAACTGATTTGCCTGAAGTGTTTGTGTGTGTGTGCGTGCGCGTGTGTGTGCACGCACACAAATTAGGTGGTATTGCTTGCACACATAATTGAGGAGAGTGTTTATATTTTAGCAGGCTGCAAGATTGCAGGGTAGGTTTGTCATCATCAGCAAGACAGTCAGGTCTCTACCTGTCTGGTTTAAAATTGAAGAATGTCCGTATCAAGGGCATATTTGCTTGGGCATCAATTATCCCCACCTCTCTCTGAAGCCTAGACAATCCTGAATTGGCTATGAATGCTTAACAGTAATGGACAGAAAAAGGTGGAAATCAAGTGGAAGCTGAGGGGCTCAGCATTTTGCAGGCACGGTAGGGAGATGTGGGCAATCCAGTCCATCAGAATAGCTCAGGCCAGGGTGTTCTTGCTCTCCAGGCTCCCTTTACTACATGTGAGGGAATGAGGAATCTCCAAATAGCAATTCCAGCAGTCAGTAAACAAGGCAAGGAGTTACAAAAGGTAACAAATAGGATAATAGGGAAGAGTCTTAAATTCTTCCTTTTTTCAGGATCCGGAAAATTTATTCAAGCCTGCAACAGGAAAGTAAATTCAACCTATCTTATATTAGGTGCTCAAGCCTGTTTGTGGCTCTAGCTCTCAGTAATGAGAACCTCAAAAATCAGATCCGAAAAAAAGTAAAAGGGAATAAAACATCGAAACCTGACCTTTTAAGTGAGGCTTATTCCATTTTAGGTATATTTCCCTGATATTTATTTTCCTGAATACTTCACACATACACATACTGAATGAAGAGCAAAAATAGGCACACACAAGAAGAGGAGATGTCTATTTTGACAATGTCGACTTTGTTACAGTTCCATAGACTGACTCGGGGATATCGATTTCAGTCTATTTATACATCTGCCTCAAGTGTTTTCAACAAGGTAATTTGCCACGAGACATAAACTGAAGCAAATTAGGTTTCATTTAGAAAGTCCCCTTGCTGGCTAGAGATCTAACAAGAAAACCCATGTCATAAAAAGAGCCAAAATGATGGATTTGAGTAAATATATTTTTTAAACTTCAGAGGGTTATTATACATAGATATGGGCATCATATGATAGTTCTTCTGTCCAGAAAACTGCAGTTACAGGATAAGGCCATATGTCAGATTGTTTCAGATTTTAGCACAACTGTTTAAATAGTTGACAGATACATGCTTAGTAGCTGGCGGGACTGAGGCTTATGGTTCCAAACCTGAGGCCATTTAAATCAAAGGTTGCAATCCAGAGGAACTGTCTGTGTTCTTAATTAAAACTACAAAGAAAAAGGGAGTAGGTGTAGTTAATTGAATTTTTTCCCAATGCTTGTATTTGACCAGTCCCTGCACTAGTATATGATAAGATGTACATACCTAAGAGTGTTGGTAATATTGCAAGGACACCTCTTGTTGCATTTGAGGCCATAAAACCCTTCTGGACACATTCTTTCTTGGCAGTAAATCCCTTTAAAGCCAGGGTCACACAAACATGCTCCATTTACATGATAACACTTCGCACCGTTTTGGCAGTCACATCTTTGTGTGCACTGAAAGCCATATGTCCCAATAGGACACTCTTCTTGACACCTGCAATGAGATATGTGAGACAGGATCCAATCAGATGCTACAGTCTAGTCTGATTATCACTTTTACATGGGCATGTTTTTGTTAATGAATTAAGTACAAAATCATTGCTCATTTATTTAAGTAATATACTGTGAACTGATGATATCATTGGAGTGATGTGATATCTTGGGTATGTAAAATTGCTGTTAACCGAAAGTGCATTAATCTCTGTCCAATTATATCCTGCAAAATTTGCATTAGTTAATATTACCTTAGTTAACAAAGTGCATTTTTGTTTCCTGGACCTTGACAGTTCCATTCATCACCATAAGAAATTGATATAGAACAAGATACTTTATTAAAAAAACCTTCACCTGTTTGCTTTCTCTTTATTACAGAAGGATTGTGCACCTTCTTTAAAAGCATACGGTCCTCTTAGTGATAATGAGGATTGAAAGGGAATGTGGTCTATTAAGCAATATCGAGTAGAGTGTTCTCCAGCAACGTATAGTTTTACTTTCCCTCTATGCTGTCATCGCACCAGCTTTATGCCAGCTAGGAGAAAATACACTCCTTTGTCTTTTGTGTGTGCTCTGAGTACCTAAAGCTCAAAGTTGCTTTTCATCTCTTACTCCAGGGATGCTCAGTAGTATAACATCTCAAGACAAATCACTTTCATGCTCCTTAGTGTAGTATCTTCTCCAAAATTGCCAACATTTTTAATATTTGATACACATAAAAATGGAACCTGCAAACACTATACACAGATTGTTTTAAATTGCACCTTCCATGCACTGTTTAAAATATTTCCCTACTGGATACATTATGAAATCTGCCAGAAAGTCTGTTTCATTGTCCTACACAACCAGTTTAAGTGTTCATAATATTTCCTACTTTGAAAAGCTCAACTAAGGTCCTAAAGAAAGCAACTGATTCTGCGCTTGGCATAATTCAGTGGTTTCAAAATTCTGCAATAAGTCAGTACTACAGTTTACATGATCCACCATGAAATACAGATATGCCTTTTCAGTTAATAAAAAAAGAAAAAGAAACCCAGAAAAGCCCAATTCCCTTATCGCATGGATGCCAGATATTGGAAATTGCCTATCAGCATTAATTTAATCCTGAGCATTGATTAAAGTGTATACTGTAAACTCAGTGGATAGAGGCAATTGTTAAATGTCTTTCTGCAGGTCGTTTCACAGCTGGCAGGTGAGAGTTAATATAATGATCAGTAATAAAAGATTAATGTGTGATGCAAGCCAGGCAAAACTGCAATGAACACAGTCAGTATATAAGAGCATTACTTCTGCAGCTTCACATTACCACGTTTTACTAAAAATAAACGAACAAAACAAAAGGCCCAGCTAGTGATTTAATCTTAGCAAGCATCAACACAGTTGCTAGTTACACAAGCCAAGTTCAGGAGTTCATGTGAGACCCAAAGAGAGAGGAGCCTGTGACAACCAGGGAGGGAAAAGAGAATCACCAGCGGTACTGGCTGCCAGTCCTGCTGCTCTCAGGATCGTTCAGCTGCAAAGGAAAAAACCAGCAAAGAATGGGTAACATTAGGACTGAAACACTTAAGGCAAATGAAATGCAGTGAAGAACATACTAAGATGCCTTATATCTCCGTCGCTGTACACAGCTCTACTAGTTAGCAGGAGAGCACTGTACTCAACGAGATGAATACTTAGTCAATAGTGCACTGTATCATTCTATATTTATAGAAGATGAAGCATTACCTAGCAGGGAGAAAAGCATCTGGAAATGAAATATTGACGACCTAATCCATTTACATAATTAGCCTTTTTCTACTAACAATTTAACCAACTTATTTATTTGGAGATCAAGCAGCTACCGCTAATGAATTTTATACAAAGAATACTGACTCCTCTGGAACATAGGAATAATCAAATAGCTTTCTACTTAAACATCTTTCCTTTGCAAAATATCAATCTAATGTGTCCATAGCACCATTAACAACCAGATACATTGTTCAATTAAATTACAAAATGAGCTGCTAAGCCCTAGTTATGTTTCTTGTTTAATTTACATTGCTTTCTGCCTATCTGGGGAGATTCGTATTATAACATCCACTGAACTTTAATATGTACTATAATTATTTGGGTTGGGATAGGATAATATGGCTGTCACCTGTAGAATTAATGGAAGCAATTTCACAAAATATTAAACATAAGACAGCCTGCTTAACAGATGAACTTAGAACACACACACATTTTTTGCAGATACAAAATTTCCAGATAAATTTTTTTCATGGAATAATGCTCTAAAGGTTTTTAGGCTTCTCTGTTTATTTGTTTGTTTTGAAACAGTGATCACATTTATGTAGCACAGACAAAGACTAGAAGCCGTCCAAAATACACTAACCTGGAGATAGCCATTCTGTCGATAAAAGATACAGGTGCAAACACAACAACAAGAGAATAAATCCGCTCATATAGTTATAACAATGTGGTATTTATTCTCTTAAGATTCAATCTTTGGGTTTAACGGCAATATGGAAAACAAAGCTAAAACAGTATGTGCACTTTTCCTGTCAGCCACTGAATTCTTAGACACCTCATCCTCAGCTTCTAACTGTGCTTCTGCTATTATTCCTTTCCAGTTTGCAAAACATACATTTACACGACATATCCAGTCATTCTAGCAGAGCACAAAGCTTCCCGGAGTTATTAATAGTGCTTGCCAATTTCCTAGATATTTACTGCCGTGCCACTTCCTGGAAATCAGGTAGGGACCAAAGTGTGGCAATTACACTTACAGAGACCTTTATGACCGTTTCATCTCCACAGATATTTATCTAATTACATGTTATTATCTTCTGCACAAGATGATGAACTCTAGTACTGTGCAGTACTTACTGACAATAAAAAAAGATGACAGAAGAGAAAGTGTTTTTATGTTTTTATTGTTGTTATGCACAATATCTGTGATTATTAAAAGAAATTTTTTTCAATGTCTTGTAAAATCTTAAAGAAAACACTATTTTGCTGTGCAGCAGTGTTCCGCTGCTATACTCGCAATTGTACTGTAATACTGCAATAGTTGCATGAGATCCAGAAAGTAAAATAGACTTTAAGCTAAAATGGTGCTGACTAATTTGTCCCATTGTCCATGCTGTATGAACACATAACTAAGGAGAGCAATTTCGATTTTTTAAAGACCTTGTGCCTGCTCCTGCCCTCGCTGAAATCAGCGGGCAATCTGCCATTAGCTAACTGTAGTTAACAGCAAGGTAAGGCTATGAGTGCCTCTTCAGAAGAAACTGCTACAGGCAACGTGCTGGCCCAGCCCAAGTGAGCGGCAGAACTCCAACGGAATATAATGGGCCTAAGCTTTCACTTCCCTTATTGAAGGCTGATTAAAGGCTGATAGATAAACATGTTTTAACCTCCTGAGAATCCGTTTGAAAGGTGGGAATTTCTAGGCTAATACATTTTTCCCTGCTGCTAGAAAAGCTTTCTGAACTGCCTGTTTACCTAACTTTCTCCTGTTCTTATTCATCCTTCCACACACCTGCATTTCTGCTCTTCTGACTCTCCCTTCAGTGTCCGTCTTTTACTTCTCTGTTCCAGGAGGTGGCAGGTGAACCATTCCTAAGGGTTTTGCTCGGGTGCGAGTCCACAATGTGACCTTCCCTTGGCTTCTTTTCCACCTCTTCCAATTGATCATGCTTATTTTCTCCCTCCCTGCTTCTGTCTCCTCAAGCAACATCTCTCTTTGTAGTCCAAATCGCTCTCACTTTTCTCCAAGTAGAGATCTGAAGAGCCCACACTCCCTTTGCTGAAGGACAATTCTTGTGAACTCCTGTCAGGTCTGCCCTGCAGTGCCTTCCCACCCAGTCTCTCCTGAAGCCGCATTCTCCAGCCCCTCTCTAACGGGGATCAGCAGCAAAACCCTCTGCTTTTGACAGGAGGCAGAAACAGGTCTTCTGCTTTCTACTCGCCATCTCCTCTCCTCATCCCGAACGGTCCTTGCTCTACTCTTATTGCTGGAGCGTGCAAGTGTTGCCGTTCGGCAACTCCATTGCTGTTCTTTCCCTGCGCCACAGGCTTGTGGCAGAGCCAGCTCTTCTGTTGCGTATCCTCCCTTGCGGCTGGGAGTTGGATGGGCAGCTCAGCAAGGAACCTGGCTCAGCTGCAGGCTGCTGGCTGGGAGCTCCCGACAGCTCTAACACTGTTGATTCCCCTCCAGCCAGAAATCGATCTAGGTCTGCAAGAAGCAAATGAGGAGACCTAGAGACAGAGGGCCTCTGCCAGCCTTCCTGAGGACCTGGGACAGCTTGGGACTGAAGTGTGGTCACCAGTACAAGTGTCCAGGCTGCACAGTTGCTTCCTTTAGTGAAATTGTCTCCAAAAGGAGAGAAAGAGAAAGCTTTGGTTAGCAGCAGTAATTATATGGTACCCTATGGCTGAAATCAGTGTCTCCAGAGGGAGGATAGGGGAAGAGAGATACTGATGTCTTCTCCACTAAATTAATTTGAAATATTTAGTATTTCGACCATATTCAACCACATGCAAATCCTGACATAATCTCCAGAGCCCCTTCCGATTACTGCCATCGATAAAATGGAAACAAGAAACTTCCACATTTAATGGAAAAGAGCATAGCCTTCTGAACCCCAGCAAAGTGTTGAAGGTTGGTCTGGTTGTGTGCTATAAAGACCTGCCAATTATACACTGAAGCAAGAAATGAGAAATTCCAATGAGCTTTGCCGCATAAAAGTATAATTGTAGCATATGTCGGTATACTGATACTAGCTTGTTCTAGGTAATAAAAAAAGGGAAGATATAGAAGAAAGGGCTTTAGCATAGCATACACCAGTGACCTGTGCCCATGGTCTCTGGAAAGTCTGGTGACACAGTCTAGCCCCTAGTGAAAACTGCATACGAAAGCTTGTTTAGCTGCAGCTTCCCCACCATTGTTAGCCCTGCTGGTAGGTTTAGCTGAAGGGCTAAGCCAACCGGTGTTACAATCCCACCTTCACTTCACTGTGTAGTCATCTTGCTGAATCCATGACACCTTTGTAAAACAATATTATCATCTTCTCTGAGCAACTTATGGGAGAAGGCTCTCATTTATAAATTTTGAGGATTTATCACCTTTGCTGGTGTCTGAGATGGATCAGTGTTGCAGCAGCACAGAGGGGCAGAAAGAAACATAAAACTGCTGCATTGCTTACTCTTGAGGATATTAATTTATATAAATATAGTTCATTTACATATCTTGTAAACATGTAATGCTCTCTATTAAATTTATCACTGTAAATATCTAAATTAAATTTAATCCATTAAATTTTAAAAGTTGTATTAAAAAAAAACCCTGTAAGTGGAGAGCATTGCCAATAAAAAGTAATAACATTGCCACATTTATAATGCTTGAACTGCTTCAGAAGGATGAACCTAATTGGAGCAATAGAAACATAACACCATTTTTCAGAGAGTAACATTGTCCTAGAAGGGATATAAATATTGCCAATCCATGGTTAAAACTGATGGCTTTGGAGTTTTGATTTTTACCTGTCTCCTATATAGCCAGCTGTACAGACGCATTTTCCTGTCACAGGATCACAATGTCCTCCGTTGTGGCATGGACAGTCCTGGCTGCAGTTAATTCCAAATGTTCCAGGAGGACACGGCTGTGCACACACCAACCCCTGGTAAGGTTGCAGAAAGAGCAATATTTCAGTCAACATTCATAATGCAATAAATTTCTATATGTGGCTTGTATTTTTATTGTTCTTCTTGCTAAAACTAGACCTAAGTGTAGCGGCAATATTTTTTCTGTTTAAGATGGGCTAAAGACAGTCTCAAAATTCTGCTACCAGAGTAAATGCCTGTCTACTCTATCCCCAGAAGGGATTTTTCTTGCCACTGCACAGTCACTGATAATTCTTTTCTTTGGATCTCCCCCGTAAACAGTAGCTGAGGTGGCAGGATATTCACTGCCCCTTGAATAGACGCAGGAAGGCTTGGGAGAGGCTAAAGGCAACCAGAGAAGGCTACAAAGCTTCGTATGTTCTGGTGGGGGTTTTTTTTGAAATATTTGAGAAATAGAAATTTTTTGGACTTACCCTGTGTAAGTGTCACAAAGCGAATAGTTGGGAGGAGAGGGACTGTTGGAAAGGCTGCACGGGGAAGATGATAGTTGTGATAGCCTATGATGATCTCCCCTGTTCAGACAGCCCCACTTCATCCAACCATGAAGAAGACCAAACACAACCGCTGGAGAAGTTCTCTGCTACTCTTCAGATTCTACCTACTTCATTCCCTCTACTCTCATCCAGCCCCGACTCTCGTCTCTTCAAGCAGCACAGAATGGCATCTGCCAGTGCTTTCTCTAAGCCACGGAGGAGGCAGGATGGGAACAAGAGGATGGGATAGTTGCAGAAAGCCACCAGTGATGGCGTAAAGCAATTTGACTCTCCACATCAGCAGTGAGCAGCCTTTTGGGCAGAAGAAGTGATTTTGCAGTGGAGTATCTGCCTAATCCCTCAACACTGGCTGGATGCATCATCCAACATCCTCCCAGATCCTTATACCCAACCTTGGAGCCATATCTCAGTCCCCGACCTGCCTCAACTCCACGTCTTGGTGGCTACCTCCTTCCCCCATTTTATGCTCCCAGCCCTCTGCTTTCCTGCCTCTTTTTTCCGATCTACCCCAAATCTTTGTTGCAGACTCCCCTTTAGTCCTCTCCTTCATCCAGACACAAATCCCTGTCTCTGAATTGTTTCCTCCTTCCCCTCCCTGCTTAACCATCCCTGAACGAGAAGAAAAGACAGACTGTCATTCCTGGTTGCGCACCCTGGCACCGCTCGCTCATCAGGAAAAGCAATTGCTGGGCAAACCTTGTTCCAGCTCTTCAGCCCCAAGGTAGAGAACGCTTACCATGGGCTGTGTCTTTGGAGAATTCATCTGCCAAACTCAGGTAGTTTTCCCCCAGGCATCACATAATGGCCCCTGCCAAGTATCAAGGCCTACAAGGATTTCCCTAGACTTTCTTAGAAGTTGTATGAATGGTTTTTTATGTCAGCAAAACATAAAATCTGAGGCTGGCATCCAGCTGAGTAACTTCAGCCAAAACAAGGCTGGCAGTGCTGTGATCTGAAGATGGGGTCCTATAATGGAAAACGTTTGGCAGATGTAGCAAGTGGTGCTGCTGCCAGTGCCATGCACAGTGCACAGTTTTTGACAGAAACAGTGTTTTTCTGTCCCTGTTATTATTTTGTTTTAAACTCTCAGAAGTCTTATTTCCGTAACCAAGCCCCAGGGGCTCTGAGTTTTGAACAAGGCACATATTAGGCACAACTTATACAAAACACAAAACAGGAACATAATGGCTGCTTTCACTCCTTGGGGTTCTCGCTCAGCCATTTGGGAAGTTCAGCAATATCAACAGCCTCAAAGTGGAGACGCTGCTCTTCAATATAATCATAAAACAGATACTTCAAGCCTTTCCCAACCAGTGATAGGTGGCTCCTTGGCTGTAAAACAGACAGGTTGGCCTCAGTTCAAGAACTTTCAGATTACAGTGTTAAAAAACTGGTGTCTCTGGACTTGAGTAATACACAACACTATATATCTGAAAATATAAGTATCCATTTATCTTGATAATAAATACTTTCTCTCTTCACATCTCAAAAGGAACAGGGTTTCTATCAACAAATGATGAGAAGGCAATACTCTGTGAGGCATGCCCCCAGAGCCAAGAGAATCTTTAGGCACGCTTTTTGCATTAAGATGTGCTAAGGGAATCCAAAACATCCCTCTCTGGAGGATCAAATGTCAGACCAACATTTCCTACTGCTTATACATCTAATCAGTAAAGTTCACCCCATCAGCACCTTTTTAAGGCCCTGATCTCATCGATTTCTGCTTTTGACATTGTTTGCTATATTATTACCATTTTGTAGTACAGAAAAGATTTTTTCTCTTCCGTTTTCTCACACACCCCCGTGTTTAAAATCCACAACAGAAAGAAAAATAGAGAAAAATACAAATTATAGTTGCTTCATAAAGCCCAGAGGCAATAAGAAAGAAGTGATTAGCAAATGTGTTGCATTAACACGGCACCATGACACAGAGCCTTGAGATTGGGACCTGGGACAAAACAGGGTGTGTTGCCAGTGACAAATGTTCTGTCACGTAAGGAAAGATTGCTGCTTGCCCGACCACAGAGATCTAGTCCTTCAAATGTGTTTCTGAGAAGCATTGGAAATGCTAAATGTAACTTCTCTCCCTACTTCCTGAGAGTGCTTGGAGAATTTAATACTGCAAATGAGAAAGATGTATAGAATTAAACCTGTAAATTGTTAATGAGGCCCTAAAGCAGCCACCCACTAACTCCCACAACCACAAAGACACAGAAGTGGAAAAAGCCCAACATCGTAGTGTGCTGGAAGCCACATTTTGTTGACTAGCTTAACAACATCTGCTGTTAGCCAACATCCTCTCAGTGAAAAACCCATGGGACAGTAAAATCTCCCAGGACACAATTCGTACGACTTCTTATTGTGCTTCTGGGAGAGTCTGCGCTGGATGGAAGGAAGCAGGAGGAAAGAAATATTACAAGGCATAAAAAAAACAGGCTTTGAAGATGGCAGATCCAAGGAAGAACCTAAGAACCCTAGAACTTCCTCCTATTCAACTTATTGCCTCCTCTTGCATATCCACAGACAGCCAAGACCCTAAGGGAGCTGAGCTACTGTTAATAAGCCTACCCTAGGACAGGATAAAAGTTGCAGCTCATCCAGCAGCAATAAAATCCAAGTGGATTTGCACTTGAATAAATCCAGGGAGAATTCTCTCCTTCCAACATGATAGTATATTCAATACATACACACACTCCTCAAAATCAGCAAGTAAAATTCATAACGTCTAAGAAAGACTATCCATGGTGTGAAATAAATGAATGCTGTCTAGCAATCCCATCTCACTTGCTCGTTTACAGCCCACTCATGTCTCACTTCCCAAACCATTCCAAACACCAAGAGTTAAAAATATAGCATGAAAAAATATTTTTTTCTCTTTCTGTGTACTGAATTACCAGCTTTTCATTAAAACCCTGGAGAGACCCTTTATACTTAAAATCTCAACATTTACAAGCTGAGTGCTTTTACTTATAATTTCAGTTTCTTTCCCCAGAATACTTGATCTCTCTCTTCAATTTTCAGTTATGCTTGTTTCAAACATCAATTGTTAACTCTAGGGTTTCTCTGGGGACAGAGCAGCCAACAACACAGTTTTCAGGAAAGTCTCTCTGGGCCACTAAAAATGCAGAGAAGAAACTCCAAGCTAAGGAACACAGCAGAAGTAGGCCAGAATACACGACCACAGCTGCTGTGCAGCCCCAGTGCTGTGGTTCTTCTTTAGGCTCTATGCGGCGTCCTAAAAGACCTCTAAAAACTTCCTGCTCTATTCTGAGATTCTTGTCTCTTTGGTGATTTTTCAACTTTGCAAAAAAGAGAAAACTCCCAATAAAATACAGGTAAGGAAGAGTACAGCAAAACTACTCAGATCCTGAGAAATACTGGCATGCAGAAGACAAGGAGAGGTGAAAAAAATACCCTGAAAGTATTATTTTTATGTTAATCACTTTATCGATTACTTCTTAGGGGTAGTGCCAGAATGGACTGACGAGCCCTCAAAAATATTTGAATTGCTTCCTTTATGCTTTAACTCCAGTACTCTGTAGGAAAGAACTTTTTCTTTGTCTCCACTGAATGCCACTTGAGGGCAAGTTGCCATATTCTCACTTAAGTTTCTGAAAAATTTTGCCTGCTTTGTCATTTGAAGTGGAATAACATCATCACCACCTTTGCCATCACTGGCCAAGTTAGAGAGCCTCTTAACTCTCCCATTAGAGAGAGATTTTCCGTACACAGCTTCCACCAAAAATTGTGGGCAGCAATGTTGTTCTCCCGTGTTGCTGCCTGATAGCCACCAGAATCTCCTGGTTGGTACTTTTTAACTAAAAGCAGCTGTGTGATCAAATGGAGGCAGCATTTGCTGTGATTATCTAAAGGAACATAAATCTCTCTCTCAGCCCTTAAGTGTTTGAACAGGTATGAGGGCCACATCAGAAGCCATAGTTGTGCGTTGATCTTCATGGTCTTCCATGTATTAAAATAAAGAGTCACAGTACTTGTATGCATTAAAATCCAGCAAGATTGCCAAAAGACTAATTGTCCGATACAGGAAAAATGCCAGGAAATGTAGTACAACTAAATAGTATGTAGGCCTGTGAGACAAGTCAAACCCCAAGAGAGTTAATCATTACATTATTGATAAAGTTGAGGACTTTTAAAATGTTTGGCCTTGCTTTCTTGACACATAGCATTAAAGGTTAGGGCAATTTGCTCTCCCCAGTGCAACTCCTGATGCAAGCAAATCTATTGCAATCAATGGGACTTCTGCCTGAGTAAGGACAAGACACTGAACTGGTCTCTGTGTCCTATGTACAGTCCTGCTTTAAGGACTGCTTGAGCCACCAAATTCCCCCTGGCTCCTCCCTCTCCCTCCCTCCTGAAAGGGAAACAGAGCAGTGCTTTTGATGATGCTGAGCTGGGCTTTGTGCTTTCTGTCTCATGTAAGGGCAGTGTCTAAGGGTGCAGGGAATATTCCAAGGAACTGTAATTCAGAGACAAGTTTTTTGCTGCTTCAACCACACAAAAGTGTAATGAGTAGTCACTGTTTGGTTTACTGTTGGTTGTTTAACTCTATGATGGTAGCTATCAGTCACAGACTGATGGCTTCTCTGTGTAAGTGCTGTGCACACCTAACAAAGGTGGTCCCAGTTTCAGAATTGTTAGAGCCTCGTGACAAGAAACAGCAGATACGCATCACAAGCACACAGGGAAGGCATCTGCTGAGACAGTGAATTAACTTCCTATGCCAATCTGTAAATGAGGGATGAGCATGAACAAACTACACACCATCCATCCAGGAGGACAGGAGCACTCTCCAGTGATGTGGTGGCAGACTCCTCCGTTCTGGCAAGGGCAGCGCAATTCACACTGGGCTCCATGGCTGCCTGGGGGACAGCGCTCTTCACAACTTTGTGGAGAGAGAAGAAACAAAAAACAAAGAGATCATTTAAAAGAACTTAGAGGAAACAGTAAATGAGAAAAATCCACAACACAGGTCATCATGGGAGTTCTTATGCAAATTATGAAACCTCAGCAAGCCTCAGCTGATATTGCCAATTAGCCAAGTTTTCTTTCATTTCTGCTGGGGTTATTTATGTGCCATGGATCCGGCCCTGTAAGGTCAATACACGTGTGTAATCTTTATGCACATACCAAATTCCACCCATCTCAACGGGACAACTCACATCCATTAAAATAGCCCAGGAAAGTAAGAGTTGCAGGATGAAGCCCTCAACGTGAATTAACTGACATGGCAATAAAAGCTGCGAATAGAATAAAAGGATGGGATTAAAAGGCTTGAAATTTCTCCAGTCACTACTAAACGTTAACTTTTGTAGTGTATAATGGACTGGCAAGAACTCAGCATCATTTAAAGGCTATTTAAGCTCATTGGGTCTCTCTCAGTATTCATGGGGGGCCAATGTAAGGCTAGTCCCTGCACAAAACAGTGTCTCCTACGTTTGCACATTGGTGCTTTTCAGCATCACTTCTTTCTGTAATCCCAGGTTCTGAAACTACAGTACGTTCTTCCGCTAACTGCCTCTGATGAGGATGTTCATACAACATATCGGGGTTGGCCCTGCAAGTACTTACTGCTGAGAACTGACATACTAATGTCAATGGGACTACTCCTACTAGTAAGCAGAGTCTTTAGCAGTGAGTGCTTCCAGGACTGAGGTCACAAGTCTACGAGGAAATCAGGTACTAAATAAAATATTCAAAAGGCATATCACTTATTTATGAGGGTTAATATTGCCTTTATTTTTTACTTTCCCCTTCAGGCAGGTCAACAAATAATATTAGACTGCAAAAGTATTAAGTCACCTGTAATAGATCTCCAACCAAATTCAGTGACTAAATTCTCTTTTCCCCTTAAATAATTTTGAAAAACATAATTACTTCTGAAACTACTGAAAGATCTCTAATGAGAACTGATGTTACACTGTAGGCAATTTTAAACAAGGAACTATTGCTTGCTGTCCTAAAATTAATATGCGGATTTTGTGAATCCTACTGGTAAACTTTCAGTGTGGTGGATGGGGATTTAGCTACATGATTCTCGTTAAAGTTAATAGGAGTCACACTGCTAAATCCCTGCTCACTATGCTTAAAATTTGCCCCCTAGATAGTAAGCTGATATAGTTAACAGCAATGCTGCCTCAGTTAGATTGAAAGTCAAATAAATTGGGGATGGTAAGTCCCAATTGATACTGCACCGGACTGCTAATGAGTAGAATGTCCAATTGCTTATAAAACCTCAACTGTCATTTGGATTGTATTCATATACTGAAATTGGGAACAGGTACGGTTGTTGTACAAGCTGGAAAATACAATGGATTTTTAAGTTCCCTTTAGCACTAAATTTTATTTTATTATGCAGACAGGTATAATCAGTAGCAAAAAAAAGAGATTTCCTTTATTTAGTCTCTCTGAAATTCTGTTAGCCGATTTCTACAAAGGAAAGTGTATAATACATAGATTGTGTAAATTTTGCCAATTACTCATTGCCCTAAAAGCGGTCAAAGCAAGGCTATTAAATGATGTGGAGTAAAATACACCTATCATTGAACTTACAATACCCCTGTGTATCCGGGAGCACAGTGACATTCTCCCGTTTTATGGTCGCAGGTAGCTCCGTTGTGACATTGGCATTTGAGCTGGCAGCCCTTGCCGTAGCTCCCGGGGTCACAGAGCTCTTCACAGCGCCATCCTTGGTACCCATCCGCACAGACGCAGGCACCCGTGATGGGGTTGCAGAGAGCCTCATTCTGACACTGGCAGCGGTTGCTGCAGTGGGGTCCCCAGTGATCGCTATCGCAACCTGGAAAACATACAGTCATTTACCAAGATGATTAGGGAAGTGCATCGCAAGCAACTCATCCCAGCCTCATATGCTTAGGTTGGCAAGCAGGCAGAGGCACTGTTAATACCAGGAACTTTCTAAAGGGCCCTCAGACTTCCGAAAACTACCCCACCGATCCATCAATGTACTTTAGCATGCAAGGAGACAACAGCACTAGTATTACACCTAAATTTGAGGACTTGTTTAACACTCTTATTGGATCAGGTCCTATATCTTTTAATATCCTGTTTCTTAGTGCTCTTAGATAGCTGGAAGGAATGAATTTATAGTGGAATTAGATGCAGAGGATCATATCCTGACTGCAGTGTAGTTAATGGCAGGTAGTATTGCCAAGCAAATCCTGTAGATTTAATAATGTCATCAAATATTGTTTCTTTGCACTGTTCCCATAAGATAATAAATATGATAACCTAAAGAAGGCTTTCTCCTTTGGTGTTGGTTTTTTGGTGTTGCCATTTTTGTCTTTTTTTCTGAGTTAAGAGATGGTAGGGAAGAAAATAACACTGGAGACAGGATTTCATGAGGCTGATCAGGTTTAGGGATGAAGATATGGAGTGTGCATGTCAGGTGATTTCTGTGCTAGTAACAGTATGTACTAGCAATACAGAAAGGCTCCAAACCCTATGGCCATTGACACGGAGAAGAGCTTCTCGATAGAATGCACTAAGGCACAGTGAGAGCCCTTCACGTGACAGCGCTGCCTGATCCCTTCTCCTTGTTTGTGGATCACACGCAGGATGAGAGAGGGAAGTCAGCATTACTGAAACAGTTCGATCCTGATGATTTGCCATCAAAACCGCAAACAGCACCTGCAAAACACCCGTTTAAGATGTGTGCGTACTAAGCAGACAGCTCAAAGCAAACACCCAAAGGTTAAGGTTTCCTCAGTAAACGCCCAGCAGAAAAACAAGGATTTTTTCAGTAGTCCCACCCTCCACTTAGTAGTTTTTCAATATAGCTATGTCAAGGGTGAAGAAAATCATCATTCTCTTCAGAACAGAGTTGCTGGCAAAATCCTTGGTAAAGATACAGTTACAGACCATCTTCCAGGTACAGTCGGTTGTGCTCAGAGAGCTGGTTTTAACTACACCAACAACTTTTTTGCTAGTGTCAAATCCACTGCCATGCAGTAAATGAGTGTGTAATCCCAGCAACAGAGCTGTCTTCACAAACTCTTTTATTTCCAAACATGTAAACTAATCCCAGGTGACCCTTGCCGCTCCTCAGGCCTGGATCTTTGTTTCCAGACTTAGCAAGATAAACGTAAAGCCCCCTTAAGCCTGATGCTCTTGTCCTAGAAATTTCATAGCCCTCTCCTTCTACAGTACGTGGCTATAAACCCACACTAGACGACTATATCAGTTAATTTTGGCAATATTTTTATCCTTCTTCTTGAGAAATGGAATACTCATTGGTCAGTCTGAGGATATTCAGCAGAAAAAGAAGAGAGACTTTAGTCAATTTGCACTGCTGATGGCCAGTTTACAAACTTGTGTTTCTAGAGCAACAGTGTTAAAGGCCAAAACAAACCCATGAGAAGACAATTCCAGGGTCTCCAAAAGGATCTGCAGGATCTTACACGATGCATGTTCAGAGAGATGGTTTCACCTCCTGCAGAAAGCAGAGCACACGACGTACCCCTGTGCATAATCCTGCTCGTGCCTCACACAAGATATTTTATTGCTTTGCCTCATTTTTCCCACAGCTGTACACAGAGATGATAGTTCCTCACTAATACCGCTGGGAGCCGAGCAAACAAAATCTTACTCTTTATAAGTCTTAAATTATTACTGAGAATCTGTGGAAAGAGATGATCTATCTTTATTTCACATAGACACTCGCTAAGACTCTGTAAGCCTTCTGGGGCAGGGAGCAAATCTGATGGAGTTTCCCAGCAATTTCCATTCCAGAAACACTGATTTGTTTTCCGCAGAACTTGAACATCAAGGGCTGCAGTTCTGCGCCTCCGCGAAGGGTACAAATCTGAACCACACAAGCATAGCTGATAGCCCTTTGCGTGGGGAAGTGGAACCTAGGAATCAAACTTAACCCTGCCTTCTTCAGGGACTGGATTCCTACCTTACCATACCTCGCATTAGAGCCCCAACTGCCAGACTGTGGGTTGCTCTGGGCTGATCTAGTTCCAGCTGCAATTAATTTGCTTAATATGAACAAATAACACTCATTGGAAGATGTGACTTCTATCCTTGGTCTTCCGTGTCTCAGGTGAGTGCTGCAATCATCAGATTTGTCTGCTTGGTTTGTGTTTTTCACTTTGAAAGAAAGCGAAGGAGAAAGCAAAGCTTTTATAGGAAGTAAAACCATTTCCCATCATCAGCCCAAGCATCTTGTTTCACACTTACAGCGTCTACTCCAAATGCAACTCCTTTTATGTAAATCAATCTTATTTGAACAGTTATTTATATTTATATTTGGTCACATGCTTGCTTTCTCCCTGTACCAAATTTCACTCTACAATCTAGCCAAAGGGAAAAGCAAAATGCTGAAGTACAGAGCAGAAATTCCTCTAATTGGCTGTAAAATCATAAAGAAACAAATCTGGATAATAAAAGAAGCCTGCAGTGACCAGAAAACCAGCTGGCAGTTAGACAGATTTTTCCAAAGGCTTCTAAGTACAAGGCATCAGTGAGCACACATTGCAACATTCAGTATGTTTAGCCCAAAGTAGCTAGCCAAAATGTTTTAATTATCTACAAAATAAAACAGCTTGGCATACTACATACCTACTAAGAATGTGAATTTCATGGGGATTTATTAGGGAGAGGACATAAAAATGAGGATTAAAGTACTTCTGAATGCTCATGGAAGAAACAGAAAAAAACAGAATTACAAAAAGATGGGGCTTGTACCGTGTTTCATTTACAATGCCTGATACAGCCTTTGCACTTGTTAGGCTTCTTTTTATGTTCCTAAAACTGCTAGTAGGTTTTGACTACAGTTCTTTAAATGGTTTGAAACAGGACTCGTGGTATGTGTGTACATCCAAGGTGAACATAGTATGTGTGTACACCCAAGGGGAACATCCTGTTCTCTCTCTAGTGATGGGGTCGTATATATACAATGACAAGTTGATCTCTTCTAGATTTAAGTCTCCACCTCAGATGGTAAAGGTTTTCTGCTTTTAGCTATCAGTTCAAGCCCTATATGTGTCACAACGAGCAAAGCCATTTCATGCAGTATCAATTCATCCACTGCTGATTAATTGCAAAGGGAATTGAGTGAAATTCATTGGCAATGTGTTAGTGTAAAATGTGTGATAATGAAATATCATCATCACCTGATTTTGCATTGTAATAATCTCACATGAAAAGAAGATCTTGGATGCTCAAAGCTTATCAGTTCCTGTTGGTTTTCTTTTCCCCTTTCCTTTAAGTCTCATATTGCAGTGACAGACTGTGAAGTTGCAAGTAAATTCTTTACCTGTGTGAGTTAATTGGGACATTATGTGATATTTATATTGTGATAACTCACAGAGCCACACCGTGGTAACTTCTGTACCTTTACAAAGGTAGGGAGATACAGAGTTGATAAGCTATATCCAAGTACTTATTCGTACAAGTAATTCCACTGAGCTCAATAGGACCACTCATGTGTGACTACTTAAGTGCATAACTAGCTATGGGAGTGGGGTCTAGTGGTTCCTGCTAGAAAATTAAACAACCAAAGAAACCAAAGGCTTCAGCAACCAAGACGTTTTTTCTCTATGTACATCAGCATGGCAAATCCCTGCTGGTATGTGACAGCGATTCCAGTCCCTGAGATGCAGGGCAAAGCAGAGTCACGGAAGCCCGCTGAACTTCAGGATCGTCAGCAACACTTCTCCTGTGGGCGCAGAGAGGCCTTTTTGAAATACAACCCAAGCCTAGCACCGTCTAATCCTGCTCTTGTTGATAGCCTCTATGTGTTACCGTAATAGAGATAACTAATAATAGCAACAACATGTGAACAGAAAGCTGATTAAAGCTTACAGAAGAGCTACACTGTAAATGCATATGCCATTAAAAATGTCAAAATGATACAGAGACTTTAACTATACCATCAATAAGAAAAGCAACCTGAGAGTGGTGATGTCAGGGAGGTACAAATGCTCCCTTTAGACTGCATGTGTGGTTGTCAATACCATGAGAGATGAGTCTGAAATAGCTAGCGCTCTCTTGGGAGATGCTACTTTAAAGGGAGCTGCCATATTTCAGGTCACGTGCTAACATTGCCTGGCAAACGTGCTAACTTACTCACTTTTTCTTCTTTGAAAATATGACTAGAGATTAATTGCCACCGACGAAAATGAATATAACTCTGTAAAGGATGATGCTGGGTGCCTAAGCATAATTACAGTTGTCTGCATACGGTAGTATGACAGGTGAAAGATTCATCCCTCTGTGGAAAGCTTGCTCAATACAGCAAAAGCGTTTTCTTCCTCTCTGCATCCCTACCCCCACCTCGAAGGCTCGTTGGCTTGTTGAAGTGAGGGCTAATTACAGCAGGTTCTGCATATCCGCCGCTGTAGTCGTGCATGACACCCTGTAACCAATTCTGTCCTGTTAAGTACACAATGAGGACACATTGGAAGTGCTGCTTCCTTCCCAAATGGCTGTTTTCCCCTCTAGGAATGATTAGTGAATTGCTGTGTTCTGGGTCAATAGAGCTACCCAGTATTTAGTGCAGCAGCACAAGTCAGACAACGATGAAGCAAACAAACAAAGTTTGAAAATTTAGCAGATAAATAAAAGGACTCCCAAGGAAGGGATGACGTTTATCAAGTCACTTATCCCAACAAGAGAGAGTCAAAAGGGCTCTTCCAGTACTTTTCCATCGCTGCACAGACACACTATTAATATGAAAACAGCATCTTCTACCACAGCAGCACCAGAATCCGTGGTCTTAAGGTCTATGTTTATTTTGTTCTCATTAGCATAAGCCTGCATGTGTCTCTTTTT